TATATATATATATATATATATATATATATATATATATACAAGGTGTCCCATTTGAAACAATGCACCCAAATATCTTCTATAGGGGGGGCAAGTGACGGGAAATTTTCAACGACATAAGTTGTAGAGTTCCGAGGAGGACATTTGATGCATGCATTTTTTTTAGCTTTCACGATCATACTTGCAAGCTGCAAGCACAAGGAGCTTTTTCTTAAATGGCAATCGCATTTTTTACCCTAATGAAACTTATTCTCCTTGATAAGTAGTTTTCAAATACCTCATCATTCATGTGAACTCCTTCGATTTTACTCGGAGAATGCGACGAAAATGAGTTCTGTTATCAAAATGAAGATTCACACACACTTGACGCGTCTTGGCGTAGATAATTGTTCTGCTAATCCATTTACCAACTGTAGTTATGGAATGTAAACAATAACAAAGAATTCCCCATTACCTCGAGGATTCTGCTATTCGAAACAGTTTCAATTCAACCAGAATCGAGTTAGTATCCCCTGTAATTTCACGGAGTGCCGCGGAGTCTATCGAGCCGCTGCCAAGACATATCGAGAACGGTACCCTAATCGCCGCCGTCATCCCACAGATGCAGTAATTCGGAACATTGAAAGGAATTGTAGGAGAGGACGAACTTTTCGACGACAACAACCACAACAACAAAGTATTAATCCTGATGATCCACGAGCTGTTGCCATTCTCGCTATGATTCACATGAATCCACACATCAGTTTGAGAGAAATTAAACAAGATTTAGATGTACCACGGAGCACAGTACAAAGAATTCTCCGAGTAAAATTAAAGGAGTTCACATGAATGATGAGGTATTTGAAAACAACTCATCAAGGAGAACAAGTTTCATTGGGGTAAAAAATGCGATTGCCATTTTAAAAAAAGCTCCTTATGCTTGCAGCTTTCAAGTATGATCCTGAAAGCTCAAAAAAATGCATGCATCAAATGTCCTCCTCGGAACCCTACAACTTATGTCCCTGAAAATTTCCTGTCACTTGCCCCCCTTAGAAGATATTTGGGTGCATTGTTTCAAATGGGACACCTTGTATATATATATATATATATATATATATATATATATATATATTTCACATGTATATATGTATATCATCGCTGAAATTAATAAATTCTGTCCTGTCATGGAGACCGATTATTTTAAAAAATTGAAGATAATTAATTGAAAATGATAAATTCTTCATAGATTCTTTTACTCTACTTCGCAACTCACTTCAATCATTAGTTGAATTCTCTTCGATTCATTATGAATATTTATAAGGTATTCATGAGAAAATTAAATTCAATGAATTGCATTTTTTCATTTCAACAAATGAATAGGTCAGCGCGCGCATAGATCTTGTGAAAAAAAATACATCAGTACTGCGAGGGCAAGTAATAACCCATTTTCAAAGGTTTAAATTTTTCAAATTCCTGTTACGCAGGGGCCAGTTGAAAATCAATTAATTCTTTTTTTTCTCGATAAATAATAATGAGTCCCAATTTTTCGGGATATTTTGAAATGTGATATCGATATAGAGATGAGAAAAAAAATTTTTTCCATAAAAAATTTTTCTTTTTCGACATTAACGGCTATAATTATGCAAATCACATATGAAACTCACCACTTACTCCTGTATCATACATTTTTACTCAATTGATAACGTAACTCCATTGTCATATTGAAATAAGTAGAATATAATAGTTTTAATACCACTTAAATTGATGAACATCGATTTCCAGAAAGAAAGAACGACTTAAAGATCTTCGATTTTCATGTCAGATCGCTAGGTATATATAAGTTAATGCTTTCGTCGACTCTTCTTCGGAAAAACTTCTCCACTAGCCGCTGCTGAATATCTTTTAATTAATAATAGGATTACAATTGTTCATCTTCTCCACGGATGAAGCAATGATTTTTTTGGATGGCTGTAATGGCCTTCGCACTGTTGAATTTTTGTTTTAAGCTGTCCTAGATAACTTTGTGTTCTTCTTACTATAAAAAAATACATCAAGATCTTTGAAGTGATCTTTCGCCCAGAGAAACAGACCACTAGGTGTGAGGATAGGTTCCCCTTGAGTTATCTGCAGACTCCTTCGCCTCGCTCCCCTCTCCAAAACTGCGCCTACTCCATCACATGCCGTTTTACCATGTGCAGTCGCATGATAATAATCGTATGACAATGGAGCGACTGTCAAAATTTGTAGACGTTCAGCGTATCCCTTCGTACTCTTAAATTTTTCTTTCAGGCTATTCAACATTTCTTCCAGCTCAACTTCTCGAGGAGAACGTGAATGTTCTACTGTTTTCCTGCTCACTTCATTGTCTGAATGTTCATCTACTGAGAAATCGTTGGTTTCCATTGGATCATCGAACGCTTCGTTGAATCCATTATTATTAGGATCGACTGAATGGACAGAAATACCAGATCTCAATGAACTGTTTATGGTGTTACCGATAGAAATATCCACCACGAGTGGTGTAAGATTTGAAGAGTACCCGAAAGAATCATCGGAGCCTCCAGTCGCTATTGAATCAGATATCGGAGGGAAGGCTTCGATGTGTAGATGAAAATTAGGGGGTGATGCGCTAGGAATATAAGCCCATGGGGAGTATGGGCTGTATCAACTGTACAGCTTTCTTTGTACAGTTGATACACAGTCGTGCATTCGCCGGCAAGGATTGAAATTTTTTCCGGAACGATTCCGAAATTACATGTAGACCTTTTCCAACGTGGCCTCTCTCCAGGGGCGCGCATTGGACTAGCACATCTCTCGGCATGGGGCATCTTATGAAAAAAAGAGTTGACCAGTCCAACGGATAGA